TGATGCCTGTTTCAGCTGAAGACTGAGAGAAGAGGAGAGGAATAAAGAATGCTCAGGGAGTGCTGCTGTCTCATAAGCACAATATTAAAGTCGTCCAAGTGCAGCAGTGTTCAAAGTTGTGTTTTGATCCCATTCAGTTCAGATGCTTAAAGTAGGGTTCGTAGAGACCTGACCTTTTTCTTATCATCAATTGAAAGCCAGCGAGGCATTTTCCCATCGTGATACCGTGCGACCACAAACAACAAATTCCGATATTAATCTGAGTAAGACAATAGTCTGAATAAGACACTGTCACGTAAACATTATTTCCTGATTAACCCACATAAGGTCATTAAGACATGGAATATTCCGACCTTATTCTTATGATGCAGACATACATCTTAATCACATATAATGTTTATTGGGGTTTTCACAGCATTTTGCTGTGACAGGCGGCAGTGACCAGCTGCTTGGCGGCGCATGTTGGGTTAAACCGTAGACCAGATGAGAGTTAGCACTACTAAGAAGTCACATTTTTGGGGTAAGATAGAACTGTAGTTTTAGAGGGAAAATGATATAATAAAGATTTTGAATGGATGCAAACATCACAATGGCAATATTTTCAAAAAGATCACAGGAGTCATGATCAGACTCTGTAACTCTGTGACTTTGTGACTGTGTAACATACAAATGGGAAAATGAATGGAATATTCTATTAGCAACTAGTGTAAACATCATAATCTTAATAGTGTGTTAAGGTCAAAATAATGTGTCCATGTAACCAAAGTCATTGATGCTGTGATCACTGGCATCATGACAGGGATTTTTCCCATGCATTATCAGTCATTGCAGTAAAGCATGCACATGTCACTGCATTACCTTACACAGGTGGAGAGAGAAACCTCAAAGACGAACAGCTGACCTCACTGATATTTACTTCTTCACTAAACATACAAGTCTACAGATGAACACTTCTTTTAGAGACATTTTCCCCCACACAGAAAAACCCAGAGCACACTTTCAAGTATTTTTGTACAAAAATGTCATCCTATAAGTTGATGTGATTTGCTTCGTATACAGTAGCTAAACCATTCTCCGTGTATTAATGTCTCCAAATGAAAGGGGAGGCCTCGTTCTTTTTCTGGAGCTGGCACTCCTTTACCTCCAACAACTCTGTAATTAGCTCCTGATGCAGACTGACTCTCCTCTGTGGCAGTGCACGGGCTGGTACCAGCCCTCGCTGACTGCATCCACCCTCGCAGGCTCAATTGATGAACTCTACTACCACTAAGGTGACTGCACAGGAATGCATGATTCTCGGCTCAGAATATCAATCACAACTTATTGAGGATGCTGGATGCCGCCAAGTTCTGAAGTCACAGATTCAAGCCCCAACTGATCCTTTATGAGCGAGTATTCACTGGGGAGAGGTGAATAACTCTCTCTTCTGTGTAAAACGTGACAGATGATCGATCCGACACAGCCAGGAGCAAGAGACAATGGCACACGTGGAAATCCAGCGGGCCATGATTTAATATCTCAAGGAAAAACAGATTCAGTGGTGTTGAAACAGGAACAAGACGAGCTCTTTTATGATATTAGACATTAGAGACTGTGCTGGAATGAGGCAGGCAAACTAGCAGGATCCTGAACTGCTTCCCAAATGGTTTGAGTTAGGAACTAGCGCGAGCTACTACCGAGATGAAACGTTACCGCAAGACAAAAGCATATTTACCTTTACGACCACCTTTAGGATTTATGGTCACTGATGTGGATTGAATGACTGGCTGCAAAAAGAGATTTATTGTGTGCGTCATTAATACATGCCACAACAGTGCAGCAGGATTTAAGTAGGTTAATCAACTGCTTTTCTTTTTCCTAGAGGTGTGATTTTACACAACATTTCCATTTTTGTGGACGAAAAACAACAGAATGGACTGAATTTTAAGTTACAAGTCATTAGCAGCAGTATAGCATAAAAGCAATGGATGTGAATCATCTGCAACCAGTTACTTGCAAGATAAAGTTTTGTGTCATTGTTAAATTCATATTTTACATCATTTGAACGGGCATGCCAGCATTACCGATTCGAGCGCTAATGAAGAGCAGATGACTGATGGGGGATTTCACTTTCTCATAAACTCTTTTTAAACCAGACAAGATGATTAAAGGGTGGGAAGGGAGGGAAAGTTGGTTGCACACGTCCAGCTGTCCAGCAATATCGTAATTCTGTACGACAGGCCACAGTCTGCTCTCCATCGTGTGTACAGAGTCCTGCAACAAGGGAGTGTTGTCTTATTTAAACAATGACAGTGTGTGAACTCACTCAACCTTAGCACCACCTCAGCCATTACAACTAGTTTAAACATTTTAGATTTGGGAATTTAAAGAAGCACAGAGTAATGTCTTCATGTAAACGCTCCCCAGAGGTCACCCATTGATAATGTGCACATCTGGCTGGGCTCAGTCAAGTCTCAGTGGAAATGATTGTAGTGAAAACTGAGCTTTTGAGATGTAGTTTGTCTTCATCAGGCCAAGGAGTCAGTTATATTCACAAGAGATTGATTTCTGATCTTCACACTGAATCTGCCCCATGTGTCCTCCTGCAGTGTTTCATGATGCTAAGGTTGCAACTAATGATTATTTACCGTATCAGTTTCTCTGCCAATAATCAGCATGATTAATTGTTCAATCAGTGAAACAGTGAAGGATACATTACAGTTTCCCAGAACCCGAGCTGAGGTCATCAGACTGCTTCTGTTATCCAACCAGGTGGCCAATCCAAAGATATTACGAGTATTATCACAAGAGAAGAAGACAGCAAATGTGTTTGAGGAGTTAAATTGTTTTTTTTCATCATTTTTGTTTAATGATGATTTGTTGATGCCTTACATGATAAATTATCAAAAGAATCACCAAGTGTGTGCTGCAAAACATTGTCCACATGTCTTCAGGCAAATACTGTTATCTGATGTATGAGCTTAATGGAAAGCTAATTACTGATAAGTGATTTCCGCAAATTAGTCGTGGGCCGACATTGAACGAGACACACTCACATCTACAGGTTATTTAGAAGCTGGTGTTCCCAGAGAAAAGCCACACAGACATGACAAGAACATAAAACTCCACAGTGGTTTGAAAGAACCTTCTTGCTGTAAGGTGATAGTGCTCATCATTGCACCACCTCCTGCCATCCACTGACAATTCTAATCATCTAAACAGACACCACAAGGGCACAACATACATGTGTAACGTAGTTACACTAACACTTAGTTTGTTTTGGTTTTTTTTGTTTGGTTCCATGTCTCATCACTAACTCTCCTGTCATTTCAGGGCCTGCCCTTCTTCCTGCCTTGCAATCATGTCATTTCCCTCACGTGGTTTTCCCCGCCCACCTCCTCACCTGCAGTTCATTTGCTCATTAGTTCCTCAGTATAAATACCAGTCATTTTCACTCGCTCCCTGCCAGATTGTCTAGTGTGTTCTTGCCTAGCTATCCTGCGTTATATTCTGTGTTCGTGCCTGCCTGTTCCTGACCTGACTGCTACCCCGCTTGGATTTTGGATTCCCTTCTTGCCTGCCCCTTCGGATTTGTTTGCTGTACCGACTGATATCCTGGTTTTGACCTCTTCCTGTCTTTTCTCTGCCTGTCGGTGAATAAACCACGTTGCCCACACTAAGACTGTCTGTTGGCGTGCTTTTGGGTTCTCCCTTGCCAGCACCAGTGTGCGTGACAACATGACTTCCATACCTCAAGTTCAAATGTTAAGCTTTTTGTTTTAATGTTGTCTCTCCGATGTCTGACTTGGCAAATTTGTGGGAAATATTTAAGCCATTTTTCCTTCTCCAGCTCTGGCATTCATGTACTGCAGTTTTCCCTTCTGCATCACAGTATTGATAGTAGAAAATGGCACCCTGGGTTCACAATACTAGGTTATAAAGTTTTTACGACTACAGAAACATTATTTTCCGCTGACAGGCTACATAAATGATGAACATGCCATCTGGCATTAAAACGCAGTCAGATAAGGTCCTGAGCTCACGTCTAGGATCAGGAACGAGCCCAGAACCAAGGGCTGGAAAATTCTTAGTTATAAATATCTGTGAAGTTTATTTTCCGCTGTCTGATGTGGCAGATATGCACAGATAACTCATACAACGTGCACTCAGGTGAGCATTAGGAGATATGGTTGTGGTACACAACACTACACAAACTAATTTGAAATGTATCAAATATAAACGGCATATGAAACTCTAAGAACAGACAGAATATTAAAAATAATTTACATGTATAGAATTACACCCTCTGGTTGTATGCTTCCTAACCCTAACCAGGGCAGTTTCAGTCTACATACAATCTTTTACAGACTCATGAGATCACTGTGACCTTTGACCACTGAACTCTAAGCAGTTCATCTTTGAGTTCAAGAATTGAAGAAATCCCCTGAAGGCGGACTTGTGATATCATGTTTAAGTGTCATGTTCAAGTTGAAATAGTTAATCCATGAGATAAGTGAACATTTGTGCCAAATTTTAAAAGATTCTCTCAAGATTCTCAAACACTGACAGTAGCATAGAAATGGGGCAAACACGAACTTCATTAATTAAAAGTTACAATAAAATATTATGGAGAAATAAATGCATCAAAAGTTACCACTGCTCATATTGAAATAATCTTTTTACTAATGAAACAACAGTCTAGGAAATATTTTACACTTAGTTTAATAGTGGGAAATAATGCACAAGAGGCTTCATAATATGACCTTCCTATGGAGTTGTGGTTAAGTAAATGGAAAAATGAGGCAACCCTGAGTTCCAAATTGCAGAAGAAAACGCTAGACTATTTTTTCCCCACTTACGAATGAGGGTGTAACTCCCGAGGGTCAGTAACAAAAGATTTTACAAGATGTTGCCATCAATGCCCTGCTGAGCTGACCTTGTATAAGACTTATGACCTTGTCTCAGAGCAGCCATAGATGGTGTCTGATGGCACTCTGAGGAAACACTGGAACCACACATACCTGGGACACGTTGATGTTTGTGTAGGAACTTTGCACCGAGACAAATTCTTCAACAGGGAGGAGAAGGCGCATTTTGGAGTCAATGTCAATCAGCTGCTCCAGGTCAGAGGGCACCGGGGTGTAACCTTGTCCTGTCAGGACTGACACAGCCCACTTGTCCTCCTGGAAGGGAAGCATCACTGAAATTAATCATAGCAAACTGAGTTTGAGCCTGCTTTATTTTGTGGTAACCTAAATATGGGACTGATAAACATTATTGATCTATTGCTTATGCAGTAATCTTATAACAATGAACTTGGAATTCACTTCTGTTTGGCAACCATGGTGTCACACAACAACAACATAGTCAAATGCCAGCACTTTGACGTTTGCCTCTTCCTCACTGAGTTTCATTCATATCCTATGTGAACCACTGGGTGGGTGGTGAGCTCATCAAGGCTCAGTGGTGAGATACGATCTTGTACACAAAGAACGCAGCTGTAACCTTTGAACGCTGTCAGGGGGGAGTAGAAGAAAGCTGGCGTTAGAAAACAGGAAAGATTGGGCTCTATTAACTAGGTGGAGCAGCACACAAAGCCAAAAGGTAACAGATTTCCACAAATACTTATGAGACAGATTTGTTGCTTGGACAGAATACCATAGTCTGTCACTTTAGAAAGTCTTCTCCACTACGCTGACTCTGTCCCATTGATATGATACAAAATTCTTATTCTTATTCTCAAGAGTATCCTGTGTATCATCTTCTGATCTCTACCACCTGACCAGGGTGATTGACAAAGCAGGCAAGGTCTGCAGGGATACTTCCCATCATCCTCTGTCCATGGCGTTCCAGCCTCTCCCTTCTGGTCAGAGGTACGGACACCGTAATATTTGTTTATCTCGTGTGTTTTAAATGTTGTGGAACATAAAAGTTAAAATTTGAATGTATGAACAAAACACAAATACCTCAACAACACTGTTTTTCTCCTGCTTTGTTGCTGAGAGTAAGAAGCAAACTGACTTTAGCTTTACAATACACACAGAGTGGTATCAATCTTTACCACACCTCTGGACAAGAGAGAAAATACACATATTTATTACTCCTGTTTTCTTTTCCTTAAACCCTTTTTTCTTTCAGCTTAGTGGACAGTCCCTAGTGAAGAGATGGATAAGGAAGCAAGGGGAGAGAGAGAGATGGTGTATGTCATGCAACACAAGGCCCAGATGGAATCAAAGTCAGGATGTTGCAACATAATTTTGCTAAATCTGGATCCTCTCAATGATCAATCAGTTCATTTTTCAAAAGGAATCATTGTGTGGCTGTTCTAGAATCCCCTGTAATGAGAACCAATGTTCTTCCTTTTATATAATTTCAACCTGAGCCCATAGGTAAGAGATAAATGCCGGTGTTCCACCACTGCAGCCTCAAAACGTTCCACTGACTGCTGCTGATTTACTGCCTCAGGTAACCATAACCACACAAACCTGCGGAGCTTGTTAGGAGGAAAAGTCGGCAACATTAAAAAAAACATGTGTGAGGTAAACAGTGAGTTGTGGTTGATGTGTCCTGAGGGATTCTGCCACGAAATGGGTGAAGTCCTCAGAACTGACGACGCATGATGGCCAAAGTCCCGGTGACATAAATAATGTGCTTGCTCCATTCATAATAGCACGCCTCGCAATAACAGGAAGTCTTTCTCCAGCCAATAAAACAAGAAAAACAGAGCATCTGCGCTCCTGTCCGTTTGGTATCTGCCACCACATTTACTCCAGTATTGTTCTAAAAAGTCAAGGCAAACATCATAAACAGAGCAGCGGCACATAAAAGAACTCGCTGGCGAGCCGTTGCACGGATGTAGAGCTGTCAGGGTCAAGCTAAACGGAACCTTATGTGAAAGGTTAGTATGTTCCCTCTCACTTCCCAACTGGTCTCACAGCTGCCAAAAGTCTAATAAAGCTAATTAAAAGTGAGAATAAAAACATTTGGAGTTAGCATGGCGTGCGCGGGGTAGTAGAGAAGCAGTCTTCTGCTCCAGGTGGCGCAGGGTCTCAGATAGAGATGCATCAAAAGGGAAAAAAGAGGCCTCATTCTCCTCTCATCTGCACACATGAGAGCAACTGCAGCTTATAGTAGAGCTGTACAAAAGATCCCGACTTCTGAATTTCACAGAAACACCAAAAAGAATTTGTCAGAAAAACATTGTAAAGACGAATCCTTAAAATGTGACATTCCTTATGAGCTGCATATTGCTCCTTCACATCTGGTTCATAATCTGAACTGCACTGCGGAGTCGTGATCGTCTGCCCAGAGGCTGTCTCAGCTGCCAAGCAGTCATCAAAACATTGATCTCAGACCAATGTTACTCTACGTGTGCTGCTCTCTGGGCCAATGCGTGGCTGAGTTATTTGAAAATCTTCAATAACATTGATCAAAAGGGCCAAACGTTAGATAATGTCACACATACCGACAAATAAGTCCGAAAGAAAACCATTTTTAAAGACAGAGACTGTGATTAAATGCTGAAAACAATATTTCAATGAAATACTTCTTTCAAATGTAGTGAATATAAGCTCAGAATGTCTGTAGCTGGAGCAGAGGATGGGATCATCATTGTTGCTCACCATAAGACCTCTAGACACGAGGGGAAGTATTAAGGATCTTGAAAAACAGATTCATCCGACAGCATATGTTGTTTGTTAGGGCTCCATGTCAGCCTACCTCGCTGTCTGTGCCTCTGGCACCGTCGTCTTCCTCTTCGTCTATTTGTTGGAGGAGCTCGGCCAGACGCTGTTTCTCAGCCTGGGTCAAAAGGTCCCCATCACCCACTGCTAGCTATTGCATTACACAATTTTAAGGAGAAAAAAACATAATGACAATAATTATTTGAATTATTTGAATATCTATTATAGTGGTGCTCAGAGAAGTGTAAGATGTATTTCTCTTGAACTACACAGACAGATATTTTCCTCCCTGGAAAAACAAACTGATCGAGGGACTCGCTCTAAGCCATGCGATATGCCCCAGCACTGCCTTTAGCCCAGCGTGAACTTTGACATACCTCAATGTTTCTCTTGACAAAGTCCCTCTGTTTTTTCTTGCCTCTGGAAGCTCCACAGTGGCTGTCTTCACATTGCTCTTCCCAAGTCTCAGATGAGTCGGTTGAGTTGTCTGGCTTCTTATCACCTGTCAGATAAAGGACACTACACAAGGTAAATATTGAGGGAGTAAGTCCAAGTTTTAGTAATAACCATTAGCTAAACCTGAGGATAAAAAGAAAATCACAGACTTTCTCAGGGGTCATTTTTCAGCCGTGAACTCTTAGTCTGTCATCCAAGCTAAGAGATTAAGGAGTTAGCGGCTTTTCAAATAACCTTGAAACGGGGCGAAATAGGTTTTTTCTAAAAATACGAAAACAAGAGATTACTTATTTAATGCCACAATTGACATAGTGGTTTAGAGGACAGTGCTTCTTTAGAATTAGGATGTCTCTTTGATAAAGAAAAGCAGCCTGAACAGAGAAACACAATGAATTCCTCGCAGGTTTCAGATCAAACCACCAGAGTTTGATGAGGAAACAGTTCAAAGAGTCACATTGGGGGTAAATTGTTACGCATTCATTTCAGAAAACCTGCTTTGTAATATCTGAGTTATAGCACCATCGTCTGAACCAGCCTGCAACCGAAAAATAAACAACAGTTTTAAGTTCTCTGAGCTCATGGCGCCATCAAGTGCAAAATCTAAGCAGTGCAACAGAGAACATATATTTTTAAATGCCTGAACGAAATATGGAAATATGTGTGCTGCATTTTCTCCCATGTTTGACTTTGACTAACTCACTTTGCTCCAAACGTTGTCCGTCACGGTCACTGTCAGGAACCTGGGTTTCAAAGACAGACACATAGTAGTCCTCCTTTTCTTCTTCTTCTTCTTTCCCTTTAACACAAATAAAACAGCTTTCAGATGTTTCACAGGGACTGCATGCACAACACATTTTAACAGTGTTGCTGGTGTGTTGTTTATGCTTACCTCTGCTTGCCTCCAGGGCTAAAAACAACTTTGTGTTCAAAGCTTCATGAGCACATTCAGAGTAACCTTCAGGCTTATTCTGCTGCAGAAAAATACACATGTGTGATGAGACTGAACATTATTTTTCAAGTTATTTTTAAGTCAGAACAGCACTACACAAAGACTGTGTACCAGGAGATCTTGCCAGAGTTTGGCTTGAAGTTCTTTTCTTTGACGCTTGACTTCTACTTCTCTGCAGATCTTTGCGGACAGTATTTCATCAAGACGTCTCATTTCCTCGATAGCTCTCTGTAGTTCTGAATCTTCCATCCCTGCATCTGTGACGTCAGAGTGACACTGACCTAAAAGAAACACAAAAGCTCTATTACAATGTGGGGACACTTCACTATTACCTCTGTTTTTGGTTTGTTTGTCTGTTAGTTAGCAGGATTGTGCAAAAACTTTTGGAACAATTACCACGAAACTTGGTGGAAAGATGCAGTGTGGGGGTGGATTTCTTCTTCACTTTCTTTACAGGGTATTTTTTTATCAGTTTTGTTGATTTCTTAGAGAATAATTCATGGATCTTGATGAACAAACAAATCAGAATCTAGTGAATTAAATGTGATTTCAGAAGGGGATTGTTGGGCCTTGGGGGAGGTAGAGCACCAGTTTGAAAACTGGATCATCCTTAAACTGATCCACTGCACATCATACATGGTAAATGGTCGGCATTAATAAACACAGTACATCACACCCACCTTGGCCAGGACCACAGGCTGAGGAGCTGGTTGTAGTTTCCTCAGAGCTCCTCTGGATCTGCAGGAAATTGTTTTCAGAAGTGAGTGGAGGTTATTTGATTTTGTTTTGTTCTGTACCATGTGTACTTATATACCTGGACACCAGCAGCAGGACATCTTCTGGACACACGGCTGCTCGTTTCCTCACGTGAAGCAGGTCGAGAACTGTCCTCTAAACTCCCTCTGATCGTTTCCATCGTGACAGCAATTATGAAGTAGCTGTTTGATAAATATGATCGTTTGTCAACACAAACTTCCCTCCGTTCTCCGCCTTGAGTAACTAGGAACTCAAACCGGATGTTGTAGCTATATCTGTTGCTATGGTTACCGAGGGAGCTCGAGGCGGCTCAGCTGATGGGCTTGTTATGCGGCTAGCTCGGGTAGCTGGTAACAAGTTAGCCTCTGGGGAGCTAGCTAGCGGTTAGCTGTAGTGGAGCCGCTCTGCTCGATACATCCTGTTGTTTGTTGTTCCCAGGGTGATTTTAAATGTCTTCGGTACAGCTGACACGTTGTTAGTTGGAGCCTGCGGCGTAAGAAAGCGAGGGTGGAGGTCCCGAGGCAGTGTTTTTATGGTGAGTAACGTTAACTGGCAATTTAAATGTCTACCTAGCGTTAGCAAGCAAAGCGGCTAATATTGATTTTCAGGTTGCTACGCCTAACGCTTAACATTATCTGTGTTTTGCTTTGTTCAATATTAACTATATATACATGTGTGTGTGGTTGCACGGTTGCTAGCTAGTTGTCGTCCACATCATGAACCGTGTCTGTAAATGTTTTAGTTTGTGATTCGGCCTTGTTCCCTTTAGCAAACTAAGCTATCGTAGCTAATGATGAAGAAGTGAGAATGGGCGTGTAGCCGCAAAGACAAAACCATTCAGAACCAACGTTTGCTCAGTTTTAAAGGTTTGATGTATAATCACATGTGTGAATGCTTAACTAACGTTGATACTGATCGTTAACGAGAGGAGGTTCTTTTCAGCGCTAGCTCGATAGATGCTCATAGCATCCCTTACTGCTATTTTCCTCTCGGCTCCGTCTTTGTACCTCTGTCCCACACTCACGCCCATTTCGCTGGCAGCTGCCCAGGCTCCGCAGAGTACCTGCACCAGGCAGGTGTCCACACACGCTGCAGGCTGTGGGGGACTGTCTTTTCCATCGTGGCATGTTTATTACCCGTGTATTAACCTGCTTTTCTGACCCTACCAGGTTGAGTTGACTCTGCAGTGGAAGATGTGCAATGGAATGATAGAGTCAACATCAGAAGCCTCTCTGGCCCACACCTCAGCCACTAAACAGTCCTTTTTGTTGCTGCTGGGACTGACTGTAGTGTCCACTGCACACGGATCAGGTAAAATATAAGATTTATGGCTTCACTTGCATACAATTCAAAGTTTTGTGGGTTATGTGTGGAATATATTTACCTCTACCTTAATTGCTGAGAAAACACAGCCTGCTTTGTCATGACACAGATAAAGTGGACCAGCGAGTCTTGACTGTGAAAATGTTTTGAATGTTTTACAGCTGATATGGCAGAGACCTAATCAACTGTCTGACACTGTTTGCAAATCCAACAAAAGACAGTTTTTCCCACTATATTTATTCTCTGAAATGGTACAACTCAAAAATGTGACATGATTCTGTTGTCTAAATACTAGATGCCACTAAAGATCTATATGAAATACCTGCTGTATATATACACGTAAGAACTTAACTGTTGTTTTTAGCCTGTTCGACGATGACATATGGGTTTGTTTTAAAGGTACAGTGTGTAGAATTTTGTGATATCTAGTGTTGAAATTGCATGTTACAGCTGAACACCCCTCACGTCACCCTCCCCTTCCAAACATGAAAAAGGAACCTGTGGTAGTCTTCAGTTGTCATAAAAACTCTAAAGGTGTTTAGTTGTCCAGGCTGGACTAATGTAAAAAACATGGCAGCCTCCGTAGAGAGGGTCCCCTCCATGTAAATATAGAGTATTTAGATATAAAGGGCCTTTTCTAGGGTAAAGAAAACTACAATTCATAAAATTTAGACGAAACAAACAAGTGAAAACATCATGAGGATTATTCTACATTAAATTTCTGACAATAGTTCCCTTTCACCAAAATCTTACACACTGTACCTTTAACTGGCATGTATGTGTGTGTGTACACTTATGACCTTGCTATGAACATTTGTACATAGATCTTATGGCGTGACGACATTTTGCCTATTTTTGTTAAAGGGTTAGGAGTTTAGGGTTAGAATTAATTTAGGGTTAGGCATTCCGTTGTGATGCTTGAGGAAATGCATAATGCTATTGAATGTGCTCACTAAGATAGAGATACAACAGTGTGTGTTTGTGCGCTGGCAAGGAGCAGCTGAGTGTTTCAGTGTTCTGCATACAGCTCCTCAATTAAACACAATTTGAATCACATGAAATAGTAAATACATTGAAAATCGATATTTGGCAGTCAACATTGGGATTCTGATTGGCCACCAAAACAAATATATGTGTGGGCATTTTGTTAAAAGTGAAAAAAATATTAATTTCATAATGAAATTGTAGCTGGCTAGAAGACATAGATTAAGTTGGCGGTCCCTCATTATGTCCTCCTTGAGTGCATTCACACATATGTGAGCTGTCCATTTGTGATTGGGTCAATCGAGCATGTTATGTTTCTGTCAGATATTAAATAGATTTGTATCAATCTGAACCAGTAGCCCCCAGTAGAAGTCTATGCTTGCAGTAAACGGTACTAAAACAAAGACCGTCTGATCCACTGTATTGGTATCATGGCTGTAATATACACGTGTGACAGGTATTTGTGTATGTTTACTGAGTGCTCTCTAAAGGATTAAACTAATTGTTGTGACCCATTAACTTTTTCTCTTTCCCCGCTCTTACAAAGATTTCCTACTTACACACAATATTGTGCTATATATATATATATATCATGATGTTTGCTTTGACACGGTCATTCTATCCAGATGAAAAACTGCCGAGAAGTTGCTGTACAAATCTCAAACCTGTTGTAGTGGTTACAATAGGTCATTCAGTATCCGTATTACTGGTGGTTTCTGAGTAACATGTCACAAACCAGGCTCAAAATATTTGTTGCTAAAAAATTAGTTTCATAGAATTATGCATTCTTTGCTTTTCTCTTCCCAGGATGCGTGAGGCCGTACATGGTCCAGAACAGCTGGGTAAACCTCACAGAAAGCAACAGGGGCTTGTTCCCTGTGGGCACAGTTCTGCAGTACAGCTGTGACCCTGGTTACCTGCCAGATGGACCCAGCATCCTCACCTGCACCACGCTGGGACACTGGTCCTCAGAACCTCCTCACTGTATACGTAGTGGGGGTAAGAAATTCTTCCCAACTATGTCTTTTCTGACCTGTAATGTAAGAGGGAGGCAGTTTCATTTAACATCTTGCCCTCATTAGCAGAAATCTATACTCTGTCATTTTCATGTTTTATTTTTTAACACAAAAGCACTTTGAATGTTGGTCAGGTTCTTCATACTGTACACTGTATTTTTTTTCCTCATCAGCATGTCTACCCATCACTAAACCAGAGAATGGGGGATACGCCTGCCACCCAAATCCCTGTCGAATGTTTTCCCATGGCTCTGTGATCGAGTTCTTCTGTGATGAGGGATTCGTTCTCAATGGAGATTATAACTACCTGACTTGTCAGGATGGGCAGTGGGACGGCCCCATGCAGATCAGCTGTGTCAGCCAAGGTGGGTTAGTTCTCGAACTCTGATCTATCCGTAGGTTAATGTATCTGCCTTGAATATCCACCTATCAGGAAAATTATGTCTAATGTGCAGATTTTGTAAAATCTCTCTGTAACACTGTTTGGAAATGTGATACATAAACAAAAGCCCATATTAATTAAAGGTATTACTTGTTATTTTATTATGTTTACTACATAGCTCATAAAAGTAATATTAGCTGTTGTGTGCCCAGTCAATGATTTTCTTGCCAGGAGCTGTCTTCAGCTGTGGAAAGCAACTTTTAATTTGAGTTTTCTATTTCTATCACGTCTTTTATGCTATTGTAGTTTGCATACTTATCAGGATTAAGCACTTTTAAAATCAACTATTTTGAATGTTATCCCTTCTGTAAGGTTGTGTAAGACCCTCCATGGTGCAGCACGGCTCAACTAATCTGACAGACACCAACAAGAGCTTGTTCCCTGTGGGCACCGTACTAGAGTATGACTGTGACCCTGGTTACCTGCCAGCTGGACCCAGCATCCTCACCTGCACCACGCTGGGATACTGGTCCTCTGAACCCCCTCGCTGTATTCACAGTGACGGTAAAGACAAATCTCCTCCACACACCTCATAAGTTTGTTACATTTTTGTTTTTAACATTTTTGATTTAGTGTTAGTGTCAGTTTAATTTTCAATTGTATTTTAATTCACTTCAATGGTTTTAGCCTAGAGTTTGTTCGCATTAATAACATTGATATCTGTTGAACAAAAGCACATTAAGAGACACATTTGATGTCTTTAATAAAGATCCAGCATCTGTGATAACACATTACGAACAATCATGCTTCCTAGATCGTAGCACGCTCTCCATAGACTTATCTATTGCTGGAGACAAAATTAACATTTCATACAAGGATTCAACAATATGAGCTGTTGACACCTTAGTGAAACAGTGGCACTGGAGTTAATATGTATTTGTTTTATTTCTTTCGGTCCATGGTCAGTATGCCAGGCTCCATATCGGCCAGAGAACGGGGGCTACACCTGCCACCCCTCCCCATGTGGAAGACTTTCTCATGGCTCCATGATTCAATACTTCTGCGATGAAGGTTATGTTCTGAAGGCAGATTATAAATTCAGTACATGTCAGTATGGGAAATGGGACAACCTAATGCCAGTCAGCTGCATCATGGAGCAAGGTAAAGGTAGATTCAATCCCTCACAATATTTTCATTTAGTTTCATCATCATTGTTTTTTCTTTTATCTGTTCTATCTTTTAATGTGAAGCACTTTTTTTATGAACTGCCAATTAAACAGTTATATATTTGTTATTAAAGATGAATAGATATTAACTATATTTTTCCAATGTTTCCTTTTTAAGGTTGCATTAGACCCTCCATGGTGCAGCATGGCTCAACCAATCTGACAGAAACTAACAGGAGCTTCTTCACTGTGGCCACCGTACTAGAATATAACTGTGACCCAGGTTACCTGCTAGACGGACCCAGCATCCTCACCTGCAGTGCAGAGGGACACTGGTCCTCTGAACCACCTCGATGTTTACGCAGTGACGGTAAAGACAAAGCCTTTCTAACTTGGCTTGTGGTTTTTAAAGATCGAAGCTAAACGCTGACTTTAAATTGTTCAAATTCAATTATTTATTCTTTATTTTGATATAACTCATGACTATTTGTTTTATAATCATTTCCTGACTTGTTTATTGCACATACTCAGTACTGATATGGGGCCGTATTCACGCAGTGTAATGGAGAATTCCTTATTATTTGGTACAATCATATCTACCAATCAGCACAAAGATTTAGACCAATTGAATGACAAATTAGGTTTTTTTCAATGGCTAGTACCAACTATAAGTTAGCAGAGCAGCTAATATGTTATATTAAAATGCTTTTATATTTTATTCACTACTCATAAAATAGGACTGTTTAATAATGATAACGAATGAGAGACAAAATTAGTGAACATTAATTTAACATTCAGGTATTATGCACTTAAAAAAAATGTAAATAACAAATGTGAATTGCCTCCGTTGACTTAAGTTGATCTGCACTCTACTTATTGTTTTAAATTTTAATACATGTCTGCAAATGTCTTTAGATCTTTTGTCTATTGGTCTTAGGAATACAAGCTTCGATAATCTTAAATTGCCAGATATCAGCCCATTTAATCGGCCAGTTGATTAACCTGTTTGTCACTTGGCCCAAAAGCTTAATGAAATGATTAACACTGTATTTATTACTATTTCTTTTTTTCCTTTGGACAGTATGTCAGCCTCCCTATGAGCCAGAGAACGGGGGTTACACCTGCCACCCCTCCCCATGCCAAAGACTTTCTCATGGCACTGTGATTGAGTATTTCTGTGAGGAAGGTTATATTCTGAAGGGGGACTATAAATACCTGACCTGCCAATATGGAGAGTGGGACAGTAAAATGAAGCTCAGCTGCCTCATGGATCAAGGTAAAGATGAGATGACACATTTGAACTATTGTATAGATAATTATAAAATTCTGTTCAGATTATAAGTTGTTCATGTCTCATAGACCGAGACCCTTTACCACTTGGGATGCCCGCCTTGTCCATAGTGGCATCCACTGCCAGCTCAGTGGCCCTCATCCTGCTCCTCGTGGTGCTGTTTGTACTTTTACAGCCAAAACTGAAGTCCCTCCATCGGTGAGTTTCTTCACTACCAGTATTTTATAACTGACACTGTATGCTTTTACATCCAAGGAACTATTAAAAGTAACAGAGGTTGGCAGATTTAAACTTTATCCTCGCTCTTCACATCTAGACGTGATCCCGGTGTGTCCGGCCAGCCCGTGTCCATCATGGTGGAAGGTGTCCAGGTGACTCTGCCGTCGTATGAAGAGGCCGTTACCAGCAGTGGAGCCTCAGCTTCAGCCCTCAGCTCTGAGTCTCGAGTCCAAATCGTGCTATCTGAGGGTCAGCACGCCACAGCGCCAGAGGCTGGCCCCTCTAGGCCTTCATCCCTCAAACAGCAACATTCAGAGATGGCTGTGGTCCACCCTGTACCACCATCCTCATCTTCCTCATCACCCTCACCCTCGACCTCACCCTCCACTTGGGTTCTGGAGCACGCAGGTGATACAGCTCCGTCATCCCCACAAAGACGGACGCCTGCAGGCAGCGATCAACACAACCTGTCTCTGGACTCTGAAATGGACTACTCTGATGGTAAAACCCTCTACATATACAGTTCTTTTAATTAAAGACCCCACACTGTATCATGTTTGGTGTAAAGTACAGATATGCACATTAAATATCCTCTGACTGTCTTTTAAATTATTATTATTTAAATGGATAATTTGTCTTATGTAGTTTTTGAATGTGATCTGAACCCGGATCTGTAGACAGTGGTGGAAGAAGTACTCAAACAAGTAAAAGTACAAATGAATAGACAAAAATGTGCTCATGTAAAAGTGGCACGTTAACTCTTTTACTTCAGTAAAACTAGGTTCTTGCTTTTAAATATACTAAATGTTTCAATGGTAAAAAATTAGCAGAGTGAAGCCTATTCCCTAATGTAACAGCCTACTACATCATAGAGTCTCAGCCTATTTTAAATCTATTTCAGCTGCTGCTTCACCAGTAAGTGTTGCTGTTGCAGGAATGTGTAAAAGGTCCATATGAAGTCAAGTCAAGTCAAGTCAACTTTAATATCAATAATGCCATATGTGCAGGACATACAGAGAACTAAAATAGCGTTTCCCTATTATTCTCCGTGCAAACAGCATTAAACATGAAATATAAAATACAAAAAATATAAACAGGTGAAAGGGAACTATTGGCAGAAGTAGAATAATTTTCATGATGTTTTCATTAGTTGGTTTCATCTAAATTGTATGAATTGTAGTTTTCTTTACCCCAGAAAAGGCCCTTTATATACTTTAATACTTTATATTTACATTGAGGGGACCCTCTCTATGGAGACCGCCATGCTTTTTACATTAGTCCAGACTTGAGTTTTTATGACAATTAAAGGCTACCACAGTTTATTTTTCATGTTTGGAAGGAGAGGGTGAGGTGAGGGGTGTTCAGCTGCAACATGCAACTTCAGCACTAGATATATATATATATATATGCATTGTAAAAATGCAGTACAGTAGAAAGTAAAGATATTGGCTGATATATTTAGAGCAAATGTGAAAAGTAGCTGAAAATAAATCTACTTTATTAAAGTACAAAAAATGTACTTCAGTACAGTAACTATGTATGTACTTTATTACATGCCACCACTGTCTTTAGAGTTTAGCATTTCGCCCCTACATATGCTGTAACGTGTAATATTGAGGGGACAAAAATGAAAATGATTAAGATCTTTTTATATTTTTTCCCCAGATATGCCATTGCTGAAGGAGGCCTGAAAACATACATTGGACTTATTTGACAACCAGAGCTGCTACTGGTGAGTGGGATGCCTCTTGAGAGTTTGTCAACACAGCTGTCAACACAGACCAGCCTGGCCGAAGAGGCTCTGAGTGAAGCTGTGGCTCACTCAGAAAACACTTCCTCTGGCCACCCCAAAGGAGAACAGAGAAGGGATTCTCATGTAGATACATGCTTACATTTCTTTATAGGAACTACACTACTCATGTAACGTCCAATGTCTGAAGCTCGGTTTGAAAATGTAGAATAAAAACAGAAAGGAACAGGCACCTCTGAAGTTATGTGTCTATTGGAAAACTAAAAAAGACTAACATATTTTTGAAAGATGGGTGAAGCTGCAAACTTATTTTGGGAGCTTTTAATCTCATCATTGTCCCGTTTACTGTTCCTTTTCTTTAACCACATATTATATCACACCATGTAAGACACATGTTAGAAAAGCTGCATGAAAGCCAGATAATCTAGATTGCTGTCATGTCCACTCACAGCATTGTCTTTTTGTAATTATATTTATCATTATTTAAGGGTTATTAATCATGACTCACACCATTCCTCGGGTCAGTGTACAGTATAAGGCTGCTTGTCCAACCTAAGAGATTAACGCTGAGTTTTTCTTTGGATTGAGGACAAACATTTAAAGTGATTTATGTTTGTTTTTGTGGGGCCTGCATTCAACACATTTCATCCCTACTTCTCTCCTGCATACCCTTTCCCCCAATGGCCTTAGCTTTCCACTTCTATGCACAGTTTATCTATGATATGTACAATAAGGAATTTCAGAAATGAATGTCAGTTAAACGCCTTCACTGCTTTAGTGTGGTTCTGTCAGACACATCACTTGTACACTGGAAAATATTATAATTTATTTATTCAGGCTGCTTGGAAACTCCTGTTTTAAGGAAACTAAAAATGCATATTTTATTTATATGTGTCCAGAATGCTGTTGATCAGCCATGGCTTCTTTTGATGCTTCCACACCTCTTGGAAACTTTGAAAAACTTTGCTGCTTCATTTTGAATTCTAATGCAGGCACGTTCAATGTGACGTTGTAAAAAGTGGCAAGATCCAACACAAAACGCAAGGTCAAACACAAAAAATGATTAAGTGTATAGCTTAGTATAATGTCAGTGTTCACTTTGTTTGACTGTCCTTTGAGTTTACTTTTGGACTGAGAAATGTATTTGTCTTTTTTTTGTGAAGATGGTATTTTAATATATGTGAAAGGTTTTAAATTATGTTTGCTCTGTATTATAACATGATCATTTTGATTAAATATGATTTGAGATGTTCAATTTGTCTATTGTTTTCATTAGAGTGTGCTTTATCTCCGTCAAGGAAGTGTGTGTGAAGTGTTTTTATGGTTTATGAAAAATCTGACTTGTTTAGGGGACTGATATTTATGACTGTGCAACTTGCGCAGACCAAATAAAAATCTCAATCTAATGAATTTAAATTTTGTAAGGGGACTATTGGGCCTTGGTGGAAGTGTGTGCTCTCCGAGTGCCCTCCACTAATATCATTGACTTTTCATTCAACACATTTTAATTCCAGTATGTAATAGCAAATGACACATCAACATTTTATTGTCAAAATACAATCAAAATGCTCTATATACAATACACTGTCATAAAATTAGGTAATTATTATTCCTTCACATTTTAGAATCAAAATATAAATAAAAATATAATTTTTAATCAACTCTCTACGTCAAAAGTAACATAGTATATTAAACAATTAGAGTATTAGTTGCACATGCTTAACCAATCTCTGTCAGTAACACAGGCCTGAGTTGAACAGTTAATTCACTAAAAAACTCTGTCATCTCTGTACGATTCAGCTCCTCTTCTATTCCTTCTCCAGCATAGAGTGCTTTTTGGTGATGCCGTCATGGTTGGTTCACTGCCTCATGCTTAGTGTCAACACTGTTATAGCTTGTATCTGTAAAAGACAGATGATATTAGATGTCTGCATTCAAAAGCACCAATGGTGACAAATGTGCTCATATAACCTCTCCCACCGCTCTCTCCCAGCCTTGCGGTATGAAAACACACACACAGGCCAGCAGCAGTGATATTTACCCTCAGCTGGTGCCTTGAATCTTAGGTAACATCTGAGACAAAGGGTCAGGAGAAAAGCCTCAATACATTGGAATGCCATATATAGCAGCGGAAAGAAAAAACTGGGTCCGAGGGTCTTCAGTGAAAAAGCCACCTTTAGGATGGCAAAGCACAGCTGGATGTTTTGACACCCCGTCTCCATGGAGATGGTCCTCCTGCATCTGCAAAAAGAAGGAGAGATATGTAAATGGTATTTTTTAGTGACACCAATTTGATTCTTAACTACCAACAACGTCAGAACTCTTGAAATAACAAGATTTCCAGATTTCCGAATATTTGAGGCTTTTCAACACTGTTGTGTGACAGACTACTGCACATGTCATTCAAATGCACTCTGTTGGCTCACTTTATTCTGTAGTTACTGGGACACAGGTACTAGTACAGAATAGCTTTTTAAACAAAGATTGGTATATCCAGTGTGTGTTCACTCACTGAGCATTGAGTCCGCAAACGAGAGACAAGACATATCCCAGCACGTAGCCAATCAGTGGCATCAGAGCAGCCGCTGTCAAAGTATCTGCTGTGAGGGCGAGCCACAGCACATCTTTGATGGCAGCGCAAGACAGGATAGGAATTATAATGAAAATAGTCAGGATGATGAGACCAACCTGTTGACACCGAGAGAGCGGAAGCATGTTACGATAATCCACTTGGCTCCTTTACATTTTAGAGGAATCTTTGATGAATAATGTTGGTAAAATCACAACTTGTGTCCAAAAGTCTTTTTTTTCTCTGACAACATTTTTGACGTTGAAGAAGAAAGGTCAGTGATGGCTGGATTCCCTCAGTTTCTGGGTCCTGGTCTTCATCAATTTATCTGTTCTTGTGATGGCTGTGTTTATGTGAGACAGAAATACAAGAGTCTTACTTTTTTCACCACTACGGCAGACTTTGGCTTGTAGTGTTTTATGGCGATTCCGATGCCACAAGGCACCAGTGTGAGCAAGAGGGTCGTGATGATAGTAACGTAAGGGATGGCCTTTTCCAGACCGGGGAAGCCTCGGCAGTAAATAAAGAGCAGCAAAGGCATCAGAGCCATGGCCGTGAAGCTGGAGCAAGTGGTCAATACAATGCTGGAATTAGGGAAAGACACAACATTAATAGACTGACATGTCTGAAATTGATCATGCAAAGCCTTGTTTTTTCTGTTTATAAAGATAAACGTCAATGACAGCAGAATGTGCTGACACAGCTTATAGGTAGTTAATTATTGTAGCCATTTGCATTCCTCTAACAAGACAGGAGTCAATATATCAAATATTTACCTGAGGTTCATGTCCCCCTTAATGGCCAGGGTTAAAATGTTTGATAAGGTTCCCCCTGGACAGCAGCCACATATGAGCAAAGCCACAGCCTTCATGTTATCCATCTGAAGGATTTTGGCCAAACAGAAAGCAGTGAGAGGCATGATGCCAAACTGGGACACTGTTGCAATGATTACACCTTTAGGACTGAGGAAATGGTTCTTAATTCTGGAAATCTCCATCGTACAACCAAGGGATATCATGGTGATTATGAGGATGAGGAGGGAGACAATGTTGAGGGTTTTCTCATAGGGGAACAAGATGCTCATGGCATCCACGCTTCCATTGCCAGTAGCATTTCCTTGACTGTAGATGTTTGCTTTTTCCTGTTCGACTTCTGTCACATTCATTGTGGCCCTCGTCCAAATCCTGTTGCTATTTGCTTACTGTCCTGAGTCTTCCCCTGTCAAACAAAGCAAACAAAATACACACATGGCAAAATGATTAAAGTTGGAGATGCATTACTATTTAAATTGAATAGAATTAAATGAGAATCGTCACATCCTACATGCAAATCAAGGAACAGCTGTTACAATTGTAACCCAGTAACATTAAAGGGGTAAAATATACATCAAGGATTATTCTTATTTCAACAAGTGGTGAGATGTCAGCTTCTCAGAATTAACAGCGTGAACAAGTTCCGCCTCCAGCTCAACATGATTGACAGTTTTAACTATAGTGGGAGATCAGCCACTCAGAATTGATTGTTAGGTCATGTACCGCCCTGAGCTCAACATGATTGATCAGCGTTATGATGAGTGTTAGAGAGAGAGCAGAGACGTGCTCATGTGGGAGCGATCACAACAGACGAGTAGAATTGAAACAAATCATTGGAGGTTTAGTAAGTAGAGCTTTCTGTACAGCTAACTGATAAACAGATAACTGGTATAACAGGTAACTGGAACAAAACAAAACTTTTCATCGATCTCGGTCAGGTCTTATGGACAGAGCGAGAACAACTTTTGGAGATCCTTTCTTATTGATGGCGAGCCTCCCAATGTGATCCTATGGGTTGTAGGGTGGTGCCAGTCATCCAGACTGCTACATACACTCATATAGGGGACATGTCATACAAGGAACTGTCACAGGAAGGGTCACTGATATTAACAAACTAAAGACAGTGGGTTGACAAAACACACACCAAGAGTGATCATAATAAACACATTTTAAAGACACTTATTTTAAAGGGCCCAATTTTTATTTTCATACAAATAATTTTTTCGAATGCTTGTGAATTATCACCTGTTAATTTAAGTTTATTTTGTGATATCTAGTGTTTAAATTGCATGTTACAGCTGAATACCCCTTTCCTCACCTTCCCCTTTCAAACAAGGATGGGAGAAAAAGAACCTTTTGCAGCCTTCAGTTGTCATAAAAACTCAAAAGGTGTTTCATTTGTTCACTCTGGACAATGTAAAAAACATGGCGGCCTCTGTATAAGGACCCCCTCGATGTAAATATAAAGTATTGATATATAAAGGGCCTTTTCTGGTGTAAAGAAAACATACAAATTAAATGAAATGAACTAATGAAAACATCACAAGGATTATTCTATATTAAATTTCTGCCAATGATTCCCTTTCACCTAGATCTTACACACTGAACCTTTCCGTTCTTTAATTTATGGTTATTACAGTCTTTGTCCCTTAGCTCCTCACCAAAACTAGTAGATGGTAACCTAACCACAAGTGGGTTACACAATTTTAGCATTTGAACTGTTGGGACCTACTTTCAACCACGATTGGTCACTGTGTTCCCCATTAAGTCACCAGGCCAATCAAAGCCCAGTTTCCCCTCTGTTCGATATCTTCCTTATCACTTCCCCTGATAAACCATGGCCAACCACATTGTTTTGTTGTATTCTACAACTTGTGAATCCAACCCAACTATTCCAGACCCTATTCATCCCTAGCACGGAGCCATTAATCTCTGGCTATCCTGAATCCATCAGCAGGTTGAAATTCAGTGAGTGTAGGAAAGAAATAGACTCACTACTTAACAACAGGTGTGATACAGACAGCATCCATTGGTCCATTGTTGAGATGTTTAATTTTGAATTTCCACAGACAACCAACCTTGCCTGTCTGTCTAAAGCCCCAGAAGAGGAGGTCATTTTGAAAACTGTTGGCCACTGTTGTATTGTTTATGAGGACAATAATCCATTCAGTCACTTGTCCTCTGCAAAGCGTGGTGCTACAGAACAACACTGGGGAGCCCAATTGGCCTTTTATGATTTCAAGCTGAAATATCGATCTGGCAGAAGTAACAGAAATGCAGATGCTTTGTCCCGTCAGCACTCAGCTGGCACATCAGACATCGCAGCCATGCTCCCCAAATCTCTCCAACAGGCACCCTGCAGCAGGCTGATTCAGTCATCCAGGAAGTCCTGAGGTACTGGGAGCTGGGCTGGCCTCCCAGTTATGCAGAGCGGCAACAACTCTCCTCACCTGCATTGATCCTGCTGCAACAATGGGGCCGGCTGGTTAAGAGGGATGACATCCTCTATCGGCAGATCTTTCACCCTGATGGTGCTGAGCCAACCTTCCAGCTGCTCCTGCCTGCTGTGTTGGTCCCCGAGGTGTTAACACAAGTTCATCAGGAGCATGGCCATCAAGGTGTGGAACGGACCCTTGCTCTCCTACGATCCCGGTGTTACTGGCCAGGTATGTCAACAGAGGTTGCAAAATGGTGCCAAGCCTGTGGGCGTGTCAGGTCGCCAAGGACAACCAGCCTGCTGCCCGGAACCCCATGGGACACCTTCTAGCATCAAGACCAAATGAGATTCTGGCCATCTATTACACCCTGCTAGAGCCCGCTCGAAATGGCATGGAAAATGTCTTGGTGATGACAGACATCTTCAGTAAATATACGCTTGCCATCCCCACCCGTGATCAACATGCTTCTACAGTGGCCCACGTTTTGGTGGTGGAGTGGTTTTCGAAGTTTGGGGTTCCCGCAAGGATACACTCGGATCAGGGACGCAACTTCGAGAGCGCACTTATCCAGCAACTTTGCAGTCTCTATGGCATTCAAAAGTCTCGTACCACCCCGTATCACCCAGCAGGTAATAGTCAGTGTGAAAGATTCAATCAAACTCTCCGTAACCTGAGTCCCCTGGCCGGGCTGTGGCCAGCCATCTCTTTCCCCCTGACAGGCTAGTCTCTGAGTCCTCCTGTGATGGAGATTTGTTGCTCCTGGTCCCACTTTAGTTAACGCCTGCACTCCCTCCTCACTCACCCTAACCATAGCGGCCCCAGCCCTGGAGGAAGCCTGGTGTTTTTAGTATTAAGTAACAAGACTCCACTTTAGGGTAAATTCCCACTGTTCTTAATATTTCTGAAATAAACTTTTGTACATTTGATTGGAAACACGTCTCCTGCCTTCTCAGTATAACGAACTTGTGTTGTCCTTGGTTTAGAATATATTTGAGTTTATTGTTTTCCTCACACATTTATTTGTTCTTTTCTTTTTTTTTCTTCCTCGGGTTAAACTCCAGGGTGGCGTTGTTGGTTTTGGTTACTTCCTGATTTGAGTTAAATTATAATTTAAGTCCCTCGCTCGCCACACTTGGATATTGATTTATGGAAATAACTAGTGACTTTAAAACAAATAGAGGTAAAACAATGATTGTTTTTTGCATGCACCGCACGTTTCAGTGTTTCAAAGTATATGTGGGCCATTTATTGTGGTATTTCTTCAAATAAATATAGTAATAATGCTTGGTTATTGGATAGTGTGTAGTCAGAGATACCCTGAACAGAATATATCAGTCATAGCAATGTGTTTTGAAAGCCCCCAAGTTTCAACCAATTCATTGGAAAATTGTGGAATTTCTCAAATTTCACAATGATGTTACCCTGGCTTTCATTATCCTCTGGAATCTGAGTATTATCTTTGGATAGGATAAGCTTTGTCTATTACACAAAAAGTACACATTATAAGTACTTTATAGTATTTGTGGTAAAACTCTAACAAATCCTAAGTCCAACAATATCAGTCTCATGAAGAATTTATGGCAAAAATACTTTTTTATCCCTCATCAAAGATAGCAGAAGAGGCTCATTCTTGTTCTGCAGAGGGGATTTTGACACAGGATTACTCAAAACATACATAGTTTAAGTACAAAACATCTCCTCTAAACCTCAGAGCCGCCTCACAACAATTACAATAAATATCAATTGCGCACTCCAAAGAAATGATGAGTGGCTTGTTTGATCACGCAAATGTGGGATGCTGGCTTGAACGCAGTCTTTCAACCATGGCTTCCCTGCTCCACTGCGCCTCACCCTCAGTCAGTATCATGATTATGAGATACTAAGTCATAATTATGTGGTACTAACTCATAATTATGAGATACTAAGTCATTATTTTGATAACGTTTCTCATTATAATGACTTTATTTTTCTCATCATAGTGGCTTCCATATGTAACACATACCTACTAATGTGTAAAACAATATTTTCATAGTGAAGTCCTTGCACCTCAACACAACTGCAAACATAATTATTTGTCTTTTTTCAACAAAAACTCACACTTTATGTTCCAGCCACTGCTGGACTACTATTGGCTCTCGGGTCAAACATTTACGAACATGAAAACAAACACAAACACAAGCTTTTGAGGCCATTGTTTAAATTCAAATCCAAGTAACAAACAACCCCAAGTCAAATGGCCGTCAAGGATTAGGGACATCTTGATGACGATATGTAAACATCTTCTAGAATAGAATAGAATGCCTTTACTGTCACTATACACATGTACAATGAGATTTAAAAACCACTCCAAAAACAGTGCAACCAGTGTAAAGATATATACAATATAAACATATGACATATAGTAGGGTAACAGTGCAAAAAGAGGTAGAAAAGGTGGAATGGTTGAAAAATCAAAGAAGGATGTTATGATGACTTGATAAATTTGATTCTTAGTCTCAGGTGACTTTGCAACTGTCAGGACCACAGCATGAAAAAAAAAGATCTAATCATCCAGATGCCCATCACACCTGATCCTTCATTATTATGCAAATATTGAAAAGAGGTGCCCAAAATACAATAAACTCTGCTTACAGAATCCATGTTTTTCCTCAGTCCACCTTCAAATCACTTGAACACACAGAAGACGGAACAACCTCACAACTCGGGGAAATTGGACCTTACAAGCAGCACGTAAGCTTTCAGAGCGGAAGAGGCATCCAGGACGAGAGATGTAACATCGTCAAGTATCTAAAAACAAATACAGTTTTCCTTGATTCAACTAGTCGTTGATTCTTATGTGATAAGGAATAAAGGAGTGTGATAGCATTCTATGAAAATCAATAAATGTCCTTCAGAGAACAAATAAAACAATTAACTAAACACATAAAACAACTGCAAAAAAGGTCTCTCTTTCAATAGGTAACATGAATATACTGGCTGTTTTAATGTAGAAATTATCATAATCTGCAACAACATGGCTGTTGTGTGTTTTGAATTGTTTTTGTATTGCACTGGAATTTTGAAGGATATGGTGTAATCTCATTTTGGGTCTTCTGACAATAGAATTAACAAATAATAATAACATGACATAGTACCACCAGTCTGATTCTTCAAAAGAGAGGTATTATAATGATAGTTTAAGTAATAAGTTTCTTACCTTAATCTCAGGTCAGCTTCTGCAGTTTTAGACAGTGCTCCTTACACACTCATCTGCATCTCCCCTCACATTATTGAGCCTAGCTCCTTTTGTCTCTGTGTGGAATGCCTGCCTTCTGTCACATGGTTTCCTGACAACATGTTGGACATCACTGCAACTAACTCCAGAAGTAAACATTTACGAACTGGAACTCTCCACCCAGTTGTTTTCATGTGCATATGTTGCACAGATGACTTCTAGTAAATTCAGCTAAATTCCTGGAAGCCTTTCTCCAAAGTAAGCTGTTCCTTTAGTTCCTCTCTTTCTGGGCACCGTGGGAGAGTTTGGCATCTGTGTACCTCTAGTGGGGCACTGTATTTATTCGGCCACACTTGCATGTGTGGACTTGCAATTAATTTTATGCAGCCAGGCGGAGGAATGGGTTTCCCTGGCAGAGTTAGCCTTTTCAAAAGGGGCACCCTGTTTTTGTGAGAATGGGGCTCTTTGCACACCAAGGACTTTTATTTAGACCTTGCATATGTTACACAAGACACAAATGTTGTGGCCTATCTCCAAGGTATATTAGTGATCAGGTTAATGATTTAAGAGGCCAGATCTTAAAATCTTTATGCAGCTGATATTGAGAAGAAGAAGACTTGGTTAAAATGACTTATGCAATAATCAAAAAAAAACTGATTAAAAGACAGGAGATATTTTGTCTAACTTGTTAGATGTGAATGAACATCTTTTGCAGTTGTGCATCTATACAAATGAACTAGATTATTTAAAAAACAGGTGTTGTTGAGATTGTGAGAGACAAGAAGATGATCCTTTCTACACAAGGCATGTACACTGATCTCTACAAAACACTTAACAATATTTATTTTGTGAAGAAGGTCTTAGCTGTGTATTGGCATTTCTACTACACTCGAACAGTCATATTGCAAAAATCTAGGTGTGGCTATAGGTTTTCTAAAAGTACATCTTTGTATTGCTACAGCAGCTTTATAACTAGCTGTAAAAGCCATGGAGGCAAGTGTGCAGCCATGGATGGTGAGTGGGGGAGGGCAGTGAGTTTCTCCACCATCTGGCCTCATAATCATGTGCTGGACGAAGAAGAGCCCAGTTATTGTCGCTCACTACGCTGCTGACCAGTGGTCCTTACTATCACAGAATCATGTTTGAGGGAAATGTTATGTGTGGAATATGAGTTAGTATTAAGTCACCACTGAGTTTTCCATCACTAAATAGAACGTCTGTTTTGTGACATATTTTTTAGAACCCTTTAAAAAGGAATATTGTGATCCACTAGATACAAAACATTGTCTTTCATCATTTTTCTTGTGAAAACGCCATTCTCTCCTCCTGTATTTTCCCAGAGTGGGCCGAGTACTCCCACAAAGATGTTTTATCTTCACTTTTGCTGAGACTCCCTTTTTTTTTTTTTTTTTTAAATGTGTTTTTTAATTTTCTTCATAAACAAACATACAAATGACAGGACCAGACTAAACAGCAATACCACATGACATTTACAATAACAACAACAACAACACAACAACAAGCTGGGAATAGTAATGCAAAAACCCCAAACCACTCGGTTCTGGGTACATGTGACCGGTACAATATACAACTTAGGGTGTGATACAGCAGAAGCTAGACAGGGAGAAATATAAAAAAAAATAAAAATTAAAAAAAATAATAAAAAATATATATAAACAAAATGGACTTTTAAACAAATGCTCTCGTCAGTATAGCAGAAATATTTACATTAATATAGTCAAGAAATGGTTTCCATGTTCTTTCAAAGGCATCTGTTTTGAAGTGCAATAGACAGGTGAGAAAGTCCAGAGGTATATATTCCATTATTGTCCTGTGCCATCCCGACACTGAAGGGGCCTTGTCTGTGATCCAGTGTGTAAGAATATTTTTCCGGGCACAAAATGTCAGGATATTACACAGCTTTTTGAGACTCCCTTTTTAATGTATCCAATAGATAATTAAAACCAAACTTAGTGTAAAAATGAACACTTGAACATACATCAGTGTGTTAAGAACTCAAATGACAGGAACCAACTCTGAGAAAAATGTATTTAAGGTGTACTTTTATTTTTCAGTTTGGTCCATGTCCAATCTGCTCACATGGAGGAGCCAGAATTTAGGACTTATACTGCAGCCAGCCACACTTTGGCTTCATTTTTTGGGTAGCAGCCGTGTTGTCCATCTTGATATAAATTCCACGATTGGCTGCTTGTGCGCTCATGTTTTCACAATATGATACATTTGATTATTAAATTTAAGAAAAAAATAAATATATATATATATATATAATTGTGTGAAGTAACAACACTCCCGTTCCCAGATGCCAGGTATAATGAGTTATACACACTTTTCAGTATCTCAGTGTTGGGATGAGTCCAGGATTCTTTTAAACAAGTCTTTATAAAGGTACAGTGTGTAGAATTTTGTGATATCTAGTGTTGAAATTACATGTTGCAGCTGAACACCCCTCACATCACCCTCTCCTTCCAAACATGAAAAGAACTTGTGGTGGCCTTCAGTTGTCATAAAAACTCGAAAGGTGTTTAGTTTGTCCAGTCTGGTAAAAAACATGGAGAGGACCCCCTCAATGTAAATATGCAGTATTTCAATATTAAGGGCCTATTCTGGGCTAAAGAAAACTACAGTTCATACAATTAAGATTCATACATATTAATAAAAACATCATGAGGATTATTCTACATTAAATATCTGATAATAGTTCCTTTCCATCTAAATCTTACACACTGGACCTTTAAAGGACCGATTCTTGTGGCTCCGGAATAAATAAACTAAACTAGTGTGGCGGGTTTATGGGAATAGACGTCAGCCTCCACGCACTTCACCAGGCCAGAGCGGTTTCGCGTGTCTTTCCATTACCCACAAGGCGTTGCTGTGTTGGCGCTTGCGCCGTGTGTGTTGTTCCTTCCATGTGCAGGCGAATCACGTGCAGGGGAGAGCGTCGATCGTCATGTCTCTGCTGTAGCAGAGCTCAGTGCTACATGTTGACATTTGCCTCCAGTTGACGCTGCTCTTTGTTTTGACAGCTGCTTGTTTTTTTTTTCTTTCTTTTCTCGCCCCCCCCGCCCCCCCCCCTTCCCCGAAGAATGAGCGAAAACGATGACATCGAAGTGGACAGCGATGTATGTGCTTTAGCTTCCTATAGAAGTAGCTAGCCAGGCTTGTTAGCCAACTTTTAACATTCCTGTTAGCAGACATACGCTGGGGTAGCTAACGAGCTAGCTGCGGTTATAGGCTAGCACCACATTTTAAACTGGTGGGGGGGGATGTGTCTCGCGACGAGTTAGCTAGTTAGCTAGCGCGTAGGTTTTAAGGCAAAGATGTGGCGTTAGCGCAGCTCGACGTCGTGTGACAGGAAGACAACAACAAGTCGTTCGGTGCAGTCGTCCATTAAAGGCAGTGTTGAAGGTGAAGCTGCAGGAGCGTGAAAAACACGACAAGACGTGAGCAGCCCCGAGGCCAGCTTACCTCAGCGTCACCTCTGTAAACACTGCGGGTTTTTTCGTTTCAAACATGTTTGCTTTACGATTTTCATGGAAACAATTTTTGACATGACGCAACTCTTGTCTCTTCGCGGACGTAGGGTAATCCCGTCACGTCAGCCGAGTTATATATAGGCGACTGGCTTGTAGCTAGCAGGTTCAAATCCATCCATATTCCAGTAATCTTCAATTGTGCAGATGTCATTTTAATCAGTGTGTGTACGGTTCTTTCCCCCACATCGCTAATGCAGCGACCCAAACTTGCACAGTGTTCAGAGTGTCCTCCTGAAACCTGTGCTCTTGTTCCTAATCGTTCCTCCACATTGGCCCTGCAGTGTTGTGCTGAGTGCCCTCAGGACATTATTCACTTTTCACAGATATGAATAGCTATCAAGATAAATCTGTCTTTATTGTGTAATTTAAGTTTAAGGACGTGGTTTGTTGGTTGTTTATGTTCAAACTCTTCAAACATAGAATGACAAACACTTTGTAAACAGCCCATTTTTCTCGTGTTACATCTCCTCACCTCTCACACGATGTAAATGCAAACTGTTTTTTGTTATATTGCTGTTGATGAAAGTTATTAGCCGTTTCTTTGTTTTGAAAAATGAAATCAATGGATATTTTATACGTAATTCCTTATCTGCTAACAATCATTCAATAACTCAGGTACAAGGGCGCTCTGAGAGTGTATACCTCCATATCAAAGCAGTGGTTCCTACTTGTTATCTAGAATGTGGCAGCTGGTCATATTCTGATTTGTCCTGCCACATTTTCGTAATGAACCAGATATATACTGAAAGATCTCGCCTGGCCATTGTTTTGCTTCATCAAGCAATACAAGGCTGATCAAATCTCCCAAATTGGTTATTGTGACTGAAAGTTGCAATCATTACACAAATATGTCTGCAGCCTCTAACCACAACCACAAGATTTAAAGAGACGGAATCTTTGGTCATGTTTATTATTCATCAATGCAATTTAATTAATTTCGCCTTCAGGCAGAACAGGTGTTGTCTGATCCTTACTGTGGATTGACTTGACTGTAAAGCAGCAGTAAAGCATCTGACGCAGACTGCAGATGCACACATACTTGTTTTTACTCATGGGAACAGGTGTATCCCAGAGGCATACATTTCTGTTGTTAGTTATTATAAACATAAGATAACATTTTCTGGCATCACATGGTTTGGTTCAGTCAGAGCAGAGAGTGAGTGGGTATTGGAGTTGACATCATGTTTGTGTGAAGGACAATCGGAGGACAATTTTTACAGCTTTGTGTAAAAATATTTGATATTACAGCTGAAACATTTAGATATTGCAGCTTTAGGCTGCATGAACCTTTCCTCTAATGTGTTAGAAGAATAACATGGAAATCCAGTAACAAACTGTCTTGTGACTTCAGTGGTTTCTGTATTTGTTTTTTGAATAGCAATTACAAGTTCACACTGTGTCTTTCCTTATGCAGGCAGACAAGCGAGCACATCATAATGCGCTGGAGCGCAAACGCAGGGACCACATTAAAGACAGCTTTCACAGTTTACGAGATTCTGTGCCTGCATTACAAGGGGAGAAGGTGAGAGGAAATAAATATTCCATATTACATGACTCTACTAGAAGAATAATGAAATCATTTTGAAACATGTCATCAAGTTAAAGGTCCAGTGTGTAAGATTTAGGTGAAAGGGAACTATTGGCAGAAATTTAATGGAGAATAATCCTCATGATGTTTTCACTAGTTCGTTTCATCTAAATTTTATGAATTGTAGTTTTCTTTACCCCAGAAAAGGCCCTTCATATTTAAATATTTTACATTAACATCGAGGGGACCCTCTCTAAGGAGGCCGCCATGTTTTTTACATTAGTCCAGACTTTACAAACTAAACACCTTTTGAGTTTTTATAACAATTAAAGGCTGCAACAGATTCTCTTTCATTATTAGAAGGAGAGGGTTCAGCCGCAACATGCAATTTCAACAATAGATATACGATACAAGTGGATCGTGTTGGAATCATGTGTGCTCAGCAGCCTTTCTCACATACTCCGCCTGTATTAAATGTGCCACATCAACATGTTCTACATTAAAATAAAATAGGTTAACCACTCAAAATTTAATCTTATTATCCATTTTTTCATGTTTTTCCTTTGGGCGAGAAACCCTGAACGCCACTCCCTAGTTAGCCTAACCTGTTTGTCAGGAAAGCAAACAGATACTTCACAGTCCGTATGAACGCTTTGCCAGTTTTTCCTCTCCTGAAGTTTCTTGTCTAGGAGTTTGTATGCAGTTGTGCATGTGCAAAACACCTTCATAGTTAATGAAAACTGTATGTTGACCTAAAGATTATAAAGCAGAATTCATTCATTTAATACATTAATTGCATTGAATAAACAGACACTACAGCATCCCCCCATCTTTCTCTGAAATTTCTGCTGATAGAGCTCTGTTAAACAGGCCTCCCGAGCACAGATTCTAGACAAAGCTACCGAGTACATCCAGTACATGAGGCGGAAAAACCATACCCACCAGCAAGACATTGATGACTTGAAGAAGCAGAATGTTCTGCTGGAGCAGCAGGGTAAGTGTTCTTGTAGTTGATGTTGTGCGATGCAGTCATGATTATGGTATTTACCCACCACTGTATTTCTGTGTTTGTGGACTGCTTACAGTTCGAGCACTGGAGAAGGCCAAGGGGAACACTCAGCTCCAGACCAGCTACTCCTCCGACAGCAACATGTATACAAACCGCAAAGGGAGCGCGGTGTCCGCCTTCGACGGCGGCTCTGACTCCAGCTCTGAATCGGAGCCAGACGAGCCGCCCAACAGAAAGAAGCTGCGTGCAGAGCCCAGTTAGGTTCTCCGCACTGACCGTCTGTACCCACCAGCCCTAACTCCTCTTACCTGTCAACACTCAGTCCTGCCTTCTTAGGCCAGCCCAGGAGATGAGGCGAAGACTGACTGAGAGAGGTGCTATGATGTATAAAACGCTTCTACCTTCTTTTTTCCTCCTGGCAAGCATCCCGTCACTCCTCTTGTGTGACCCCCAGAGTGAGGCAGCTGTGCAGTTTTGAAGGAATTGTGATCACTGTTCATAATCTACTGTGGAGAAGACGAGGGACAAGGCTTCAGTAAAACTCCAAAAAGAAAAATGTTCCTTTCGTTTGGTTGTTTTCAACATCCACTGCAACCGTGGAGGAATCGTCAAACTTTAAGCCCTTAACAAAATGTTGATTAGGGATAGTTTACCTTTTTTAATATTCGTATTTTTCCAGAAAAAGAATGTGAATTTGCTTTTGAAAAAAATTGTACGACATGCAAGATGCAAGCCCCCCCTTCGTCTTCAGTGTAGGTGACTGAAGTTTTTGTCTTTGAAAATGTTTGTATAATCAAATGAATCCCTCTATTTATAGTGATGCACCAAAATTAATTTCTTACCCTTATATATATTTATATGTCTGATCTCCTTTAAGTTTGGCTTGAGATTTTCCAGACAACACAACAGGACAAACAAGTTGACCTGGATTTTTTTTCACAGGTTCCAAAGTTTATTTCCCTCTATTTTTATTGTTAAATAAAATGCGCGTTTAAAAAAACGGATACTGAATGTTACACAATGCAGTTAAAGGCAGTGATCCTTATCTTTGTTAAAGGAAGTCCATGTCAGTGTGTAGTATATTACACTGTATACTCTTAAATGGTGTCAGTTCTGCAAGAGAAAAGCCTTCCCTTGAAATATTTGCCTGTGCTGGGAACGTTTATCCTTCTCTCTCTTTTTTTTCCTTTTTGCAGAGGTAAATTAGTGTATATGTATGTAATCAATATTTGTTTGGTCCATTCCATGCAAATTACAGGTATGTTGTACATACTGCCAATGGTTGTCTTGCAAGTTAAGGCAAACCTTTTATGAGACTATAAATAAAACTATTTTATCCTTTTGGGATGTACTGGTGTTTCAGTGTGTTTGAAAACAAATACGATCTTATAATTGCTTTTAACTGGTGACTACATTGATTACATGAGTGTTGAGTTGGAGGGAAGCATCATCTACTATACCAGTTAATGAAATAATTCGATTTGTGTAAGGAAATTTAAGAAATTGCTAGTGGGGTTAGAGCAGTTAAGGGGATTGTTTTCTGAAACATTGAAAGATATTGGCTCCTCAAAAATTCATCTCATCAGTCCCTCTTTGAAGGAGGTTTTGCTTTCAATCACTTCATTGCTGTTTGTCTGTAGCAGGACTATGCAAAATCTCCTTTTGTGAAAGGATGTAGTATGGGTCAGGAAGGACCCCATTATATTTAGATGCAGATTCGAAACAAAGGGGTGGATCCAGAATAGTTTTTGAACATTTTCGCAGGGAATAATTCATCAAGTGTGAAATTTGGTGAAGCTTGTTGGAATCCAGGCCTTGGCCAAGTTCACAATAGCTGCAAAAATTATAATAAATAAATTACTAGCATTT